TACATAATTAAAGATTGAGACTAAGCACTCATCCTACACCACCTACGTTAAGAACATTGTCACAACCTTAATCAATTTTATTTATGATAAGTTTGAAATTCTTAAATGATTTTCACTACTGCCGCAAAAAAGCAAGCAATTTAACTTGATGTTTAATCGACACGACATTTTCCTTCATGATATTCATACAATAACCGATCAACCTCTATAGAATTTCATTTGGAAATATTTTTTATCTACATCAATGAAAAAATGATTAACTTTTGTTTAGGTGTCAATTAAACAATCAATATTTAAGGAATTTGATAAATTGGTCACTTTTTCCCTAATTTGATAATGTTATAGATATTTTTGTATTTTTTTTTCTCATTTTAAGCTATTGGATACTCTTGACCAATAACCTTATAGGTATTTTCAATCTTTTTTTGTCAACAAAAACTGACACGTGGCAAGCATAATCAGCATTTTATACCAGAAACTAATAATATTAGGATAAAGTTAATAATTTAGTTACTTTTGTACCAAATCTAGTAACATTATGGATATTTTCGTTCCTTTTCTTACTTTAGGCTACTAGATGCTCTTAGTCGACCACTTGGTAGGTATTTTTACACCTAAGCCCTTTGATTTATTAAATTATTAAATGTATAATATATAATAATATTAAAATTTTGAAACTACAACCAAATATAAGGAATGTCACTAAAAATTTAGGATTAATATTTGTCTAATTAAGCTAAAAATTAAATACATTGCTTGTTTAATAAAATTTCATGATCAAAATATAACTACATTGCAAAGGAGGCAAATTTAAAAATTAAATTTTCTCTCTAAAATTCTTGCATATTTAGAGAGAGAAATTGTAGATAAAAATAAGCAAATCCTATGTACTCCCTCCTTTTCAAATTATAGAAAACTTTTAAAAGAGTCTTTTTATCCTAAAATATAAGACATTTTGAGTAGATTAAGATTTCATCAAATGCACAAATTCTAATATTACTCTTTTTCTTTTTATAATTAATTTTATCCCTTCTCTTTTTAATGTATTAAATGATAGGTATTTTAAATGTTTATATTTTTATTTTAAAAAATAAAATTATTAAATATATTAAATAAAATTTATTAATATATAAAATTTTATTTAATTTTTTTTATAATTTAAAATAAAGAGAGTATCACTTTTCTGTCATTTTTCTCATCCCTCCACTTCCCCTTACTTTTTTCTCCCGCCAACCACATTGACAAGGGATAATGGAAGAAGAAGGGGACCGAATCCATCGATTATCTGTACTAAAGAAAGGTATTAAATTCGATGTCTCCATATTAATTGGCCTCAAAGTTAAGTGTGTCGCATCAATCAATCAATTATTGTGCATGTAAAGCCTGCCTCGCTTCAACTAAAGCAAGCGTTGCTGGTAAAAAAAAAAAATTTAAAAAATCAAATGAAGCGTTGGCTAAGTCTTTGAGTGGGTTGGGAAAATTGGAGAAAGCGACCTCCTATTAAACAAATTAATCAAAGGTACTTAACTCGCAAAAGCTGAGGGGAAAGGGAAAAAATCACTCAAGAATCATGAAAATAATTTAATGTCAAACAAAAATTATTTTAAAATATTACTATAAGATTAAAAGATTAGTTTGAAAATAATTTTTAATGAAAAAGACTATAATATCCCCTACTTCTTTTTAAACTTGTCATCTAACAAATATTTTTTATTAAACTTAAATGAGTACTTGTTAATTGATGAGAGGCTTCTTCTTAAAACATAATTTATACTTATTCCTTCTAACAATTAAGTTCTTTCAAATTCTTGAATTTTTCAACTAGTGAATGACTTTTTGTTAAATATGAATGAGTATTTGTTAATTAATGAATAAGATACTTATTAAAACATGATCTACACTTATCATTTCTCACAATCAAGTTCTTTTATATCGTTAGATTTATTAATTAGTAAATGATTTCTAGTTAAATACGAATGGGTATTTATTAAAATATGATCTATAATAATTCTCCCTTCTCACAATCAAGTTCTTTCATATTTTTAAACTTGTCAATTAGTGAATAGCTTCTTATTAATTGTAAATGAGTATTTGTCAATTTATGAATGCCTACTTGTCAATTAAAAAAAGAAAATCCAAGGTATTATATTTTTCTATCTAAAATTATTTTCAAATCAATTCCATGTTTTTACAAAGATATTTTAAAATTGTTTAATCATTGATTGATATTAATTGCCCTTAATGGTCCTTGAATTATATTTTCCTTAGAAAAAAATATAGAATCGTAGAAGATAAAATACAGACGTTAAAAAAATTGCAAATTTTGAATTCGTCCTTCTCAATTAATTTTTTATTTGGTCAGTTTTTCATTTTTTAATTAATATGTAGAATCATAAAGGACTCAGCTTGAAAATATGCAAGAAAAGAATTTATATAAAATATTAAAAGTGCAAATCACATTGTAAAATCTAGGTAACACTAAATATTTTGTGATGCTCACTCCCAATAATTAAAAAGTTTCCTATAACAAAACAAATCAAAAAGTTATATATGTTAGAGAGAGAGAGAGAGAGAGAGATTAGAAGGAGAAATATATTATATAAGGGCTCACAATTTAATAAGGGCAAGTAGTTTTGAAAATTTTGTGATAATTTTTGAAAACTTAAAAAATTTCATTTCTTATAAATTATAGATTATATTTTAATAAATTTACATTCATCATAATATATAATGTTAATTTATTTATTCAAACATAATATATCAATTATTTTTAATAAAACCCTATCTTGAATCCATCTAATTAAGATTTAATGGTAAATTAAAAATATACTACATGTGCATAAGATAATTACAAAGCAAATACAAGATGGAGAGGGAGATTAATGGGATTGCGTTTAGCAAAAAAAAAAAAATAATCTCTCACGACGTGATTAACTAAAATTTAAATTTTTTCTAAAAATATTTATTTATATTTAATACCTAATTATATTTCAAGCAGAATTTTCTCTCATAAGCTACACTTGTGATGGGAAGGAGAGCCACTCACCTTACTTTGGTTCAAACCTCTAATTAATTAAGAGCCCGACCGATATATAGTGAATATGAAATCTTCTATTCTTCACAAAATAATTGAAAATTCAAAATAGTATGAATGCTTTAATTGGGATGATACGGGCTCAATAAATGTATATCTGTCTCCGAATCATTATTCCTATGCTGGATGGGATTTTTGATATTTGTAAATCCTTTAATGTTTTTTCTCTCTCTAGAAATCCTTTAATGTGTTGAAAAAACTGTAAGTTATTAAAGTAAACAAAGGTAAAATAGATAAAATATTAATAAATGTTATTTTGAAATTCTAAAAAATATATAAAATGAAACAAAATTTCTCCTAAAAGGCTTGTATTTTGAAAGGGATAAAGTATATTTTTTTAACCCAAAATGTCCCTTTTATAAATTATTAGAGATAATGAAAAAAACAACGCCATCAATTGACAATTAGTGAATTACCAATATAATAACTTTCATTGAATATGAATAATTTTGTGAAAAGAATAAATTTAAGACATATTTAATGAGATTAATCAATTTAATTAACTGAACTATTATTATGCATTTATGAGGAGTAATATATTTTATTTGTCACGTGCATTTTCAAAGATAGACATATTAATTACCTTCAAGACTTAATAAAATAACATAAAAATAAAAAAAATATATTAAAAATGTCTTATAATTGATGCTATAAAAATAGTTTAAAAAAAATTCAGACAATAAATAAAGAACTACTCATCCGAAAAATACGTGATTTGCTAACTAAACCCGGCAAAGACATCTTGAATGAGTCCCAACAAAACGGAATAACTAGTCGAGCATACTTCTTGCATTGAAATAATGGGGTAGAATTTCACAATATTTTAAACTAATTTCATATTTTATGTAGGATATTTTCTAGTGTTGTTCTAAAATGTAGGATACTTCACAGTTTCAAGAAACAAGGTTATATTTTGCCCTTGTGTTCCTCCTCCTATCCTCATTTTTTGATTAAAAAGTTAAATGGTTAAGATTTAATCAATTTTATTTTGATAATAGTCTGTAATTTTAAACTGCTCAAATCAAATTTTGATTGTTTAGATTTATTTATTTATTTTTTATAATAAGAATTTTATAAAATATTGAATCTCAATCATTGAAACTTGAAGTTTTAATCAAGAGCAGGGATGAGATCAAAAGAAGAAAGTTGGAGGTAGGACGAGGAGAAGATAGAAATCCAAATGATATGATTATGCTTGAAAATTTGTGAGTATTAACTGCAAACAATGATATAAAACTAGAAAAATAAGTCAATTTTTTTATGGAAGTTTGAGAAAAAACATTGAATTTCTTTAATTTGTCTTATAAATCTTATTAGTTTCCTACATTATGAACTAGAATGGGGTGAGAAATTTTTTACTAAGAAATACTTAAGTAGACCGGGTGTATTAGCTACATCATTTGTTGTCTGTCTAATAAAATTATAATATTTAGATAGCATTAAATATAAATTCATGCTGATATTAATAATAGTAGAGAGAGAAAATGTAAGAAATCAAATGTGCATTATGTTATAACAATAAAATTAATTTAAAAAATATCACACAAAATTTTATTTAAATTACTTAAAGTATTTTAATTAGACAGATCATTCACCCAACCATCTCAATCATTTTTGGATTCAACCCACATGTTCATCACCCCCCTTTCTATATATTTCTTTTAGTTATATTTATAAGTAATTTTCAGTATATTTTATCAAAATTAAAGATAATTTTAAAATTCATTGACTTTATTTTAAAATTTAATAATTTTCAACTCATCCTCCTAATAAAGGCAACAAATTATTTTTTTTTACATTTAATAAGAACAGAAAAATAAAGATTAATATAAAAAATAGAGAAGTGTGACTAGCAAGTAGAATCAAAATTAATCTAACTGCCACGTGAAACAGGAAACATGAACAGGGGAATGTGTTGTGTATATAATATGCTAATGCAGGTTCCTTGGTATAATATATAATTTCATGTTGTAAACCTGAGAGAAGAACAAGAAGATGGAAGAAGGGTCTTCTTCACTCAATCCAATCGCCACTAAGAGGTAAACTCAACATCCTACCACTGATTAAACTGATCCAAATCCAATACACACACACACACACACTCACGTTTAGTTGGATAATTAATTATTGTTAATTAATTAAATCTCCTTTCTTAATTAATTGCCGATCCGTACAGGTTGGAAGGTAAGGTGGCTTTCATAACCGGTGGTGCCAGCGGCATCGGCGCAGCCACCGCTAGGGTTTTTGTCCGTCACGGTGCCAAGGTTGTGATCGCTGACGTCGAAGACGATCTTGGCCGATCCGTTTGTGACGAAATACGCTCCTCCGTTGGCGATGCAGCTGATATTTCCTACGTCCACTGCGATGTTACAAGCGACTCCGACGTTGAAGCTGCGATCAACACCACAGTCTCGAAGCACGGCAAGCTCGACATTGCCTACGGCAACGCCGGCGTGTCCGGCAATCCGAACCCTTCCGTTCTCGCCATCAACGAAGAGCTGTTCAAGAAAGTTTTCGCGGTGAACGTGTACGGATGCTTCCTCGTCGCAAAGCACGCGGCTAGGGTTATGATTCCGGCGAAGAAAGGGAGCATCATCTTCACGTCCAGCATCGCGTCGGTGAACCACGGCGGATTAGCACACGAGTACGTGGCGTCGAAGTACGCAGTGGTGGGACTGACGAAGAACCTCAGCGTAGAGCTGGGCGCGCACGGCATCAGAGTAAACTGCGTATCGCCGTACGCGGTGGCGACGCCGATGATGGTGAACGGCATGAGGATGAAGAATGAGGACGTGGAGAGGGTATATTCAGAAGCTGGGAATCTGAAAGGAGTGATTCTAAAAGCTGAGGATGTTGCAGAAGCAGTTATGTATCTGGGAAGCGAGGAATCGAGTTATGTGAGTGGACTTAACTTGGTATTGGATGGAGGCTATAGCCTCACGAACGTGTCTGCTGGATGGGCTGTGATGAACCATTTCAAAACCATGAACTCGTGTTGAAGGTTTTTGCTTTCTGAGGTTATTATATAAAATCTGGCTCGTGGTATCTTTATTTTCTTCTAATAATATTGTGTGCATGTCAACCACCAATAAGTAAATGATCGGCCTTTTTTATCAGTTTGGCATCCATAAAGATTTGAGATATGATTCGTTTCATAATGGAAAGAAGATTTATGATTTTGTACTCTCTTGACCTGTCTGCCGTTACACACATGCAGAGCGTACAATAATGTGTGTGTGTGTGGGTGTGTGCGCGCGCTGAGGTTAGGTTGAAAATTGTTTTGGAAAAAAAAAAAATTCATTATTAATTATACTTGTTCCAATGCCAACCTTTCCTCCTAATTATGCTTTGCCTTTCACAAATAAGTTTATATTGAATAAAAGATATTTTTAAAAATTTATATGTGCTTTAAAAAATAGACTTATAAATTATATATAATGAATTTTATTTGTTTGTGTAATTTTGTTAAAAAATATTTTATAAATTGGGATGAAATAATAAAAAGTCATGTCATTGACTTTTTATTACAATTTTTCCTTTTACTTCCATTAAATATTGATAATATAAAATGTGCTCTTAAAATGATAAGACTTATATACTTAATATACTTTTATCCAATTAAATTATGACAAGTAAACCTTAATGCACTAATAATATTAATTATAAGAGTTTGTTATGGAATAAATCAACTATAAAATATAATTTAATTGAAAACAAGCATATTAAATATACAAAATTAAGTATATAAGTCTTTTTCTCATTAAAATATATATGTATTTTTAATATAGATAAAATCAAAAAGTTGCTAACTTTTAGATAAAGTTAATAAATGTTAAATTTTTTGTTGAATTTAATGAATCAGTACTTATAAATAGGACAATAGTAGGTATATATAATGTTGGATGATATATCTGAATTATTGATCAGCTTAATTTCCATTTTCGTGCGTCGGCACAAAAGTTGGATGAGATATTTTTCCTTATTCTCTGGAATTGTGTTTGTGTTCTGCGACTTCTGCGTGCTTGCAATCTGATGATGTTTCAAATTATTTGTGATTTTGCAATATTTCGTTTTCGTTTGACAAATCTGAATTAATATTTTAATCTATAGTTACGTAGTGTATCTTGCATTGCATCTGTTTTTTTTTTATAAGTTAAAATAGCAAATTGCCTCACTAAATTATAGATTTAGGGGTGTTTAGGATTCTAGGTGTAGGAAAATTATTATTAAAAGTTAAATTTAATTATTAATTAATAAAAAAAGATCTTAAAAATTATAAAAAATGACTAAAAAATTATACTAAATAACCCAAAAAAATCAAAAAATTATAGAAAATGACTAAAAAAATTTTGTTAGTTTTTTTTCTTTTGTAATTTTTGAAATCCTTTTTTTTATTTTCTAGTAAATTAAATGTCAAAATTAAATTTTGTTAATAATAAGGGCTATATTGTATTGTTTTTAAAAATTGAAGAGAAACATTACACTAAAAATAAGTTTAAAGTTTCAAACACTTATAAATTTATAAGTTAGGGTTACCTTTTATATATTTATTTAAAATGAATGTATATTCCAGCATTTGAACTCGAAACCACATAATAAGATGATTCAATTCTTTTGACCAATTGAATCAAATGCCTCTCAATAAATAAAAAAATAATTTTAAATTGTTAAAATTTAACCTCTACAATTGCAATAAAATGAGTAAATTAAAAATTTTTATTTATAAAATTTTTTAGTAATAATTACAACTGTAAACTGTGCTGGTCAAATTTTAATAATTTAAATTTATTTATTTTTATATGAATATTTCATAAAAAAATTAAATTTGTTGATAAAAAACAATTAAATCTGAATCATTTATTTTATTATTTGAGGGTGATGAGATGAGGGGAAGAAAAGAAAAAGGAGGATGAGGAGAGATCCGGGCCCTTGTTTTGATAGGTTTATAGAATATTCTTACATTATAAAATACTATGTGAAAAACTATAATTAATTCGAATTATTTTGTACGAAATAAGAATATAATACGGTGCAACGCGTGCATAATTGCTTCTGATGAATAATAGGTTGATGAAATATGTTCTCTTGAGCCAGATGTGGTTAACTTCTAGCCCTAACTTCTTATAAGAAAGACGAGGTACACGCAGAAATCAGGGTCGTGTGAAGAAATTTTAAGTCCTAAATTAAAATTATTTGTAAAATCTAATATATGTGATTGCCCCTTCAAAAAAAAAAATCCATGTATCATTTTTTATAAAATCATATATTAAAATTTTATAATATAATGATTCTAATAAGATACTAAATTAATTCAATAATGAGATGAATATTAGTGTTGACAAAGTGCTCCTATACTACATCTTATATATTTAAATAGAATGTGAAGAATATTAACATTGATAGGGGTGGCAATACATTTTTAATAAAAAACATACAATTAAGACTAATAATATCAATTATTAATGTGAAAAACCAATAATAATTATATAAATTATAAACAAGATTTTAATAAGGTTTAAAAGTATCACCTTGATGGTCTAAAATTATATAAGTTCTTGATACTGATATTTGTCAATGTTTTAGATTTTAGAATAAAAAATGAGAAAATAAAAAGTGAGACCATAAGAGGGATTTAGGGCAGTGTAATGTAATGCAAATTAATATATCATGAATCTCACTAATTTTTTTATGTAAATAATGAGATGAGCTTAATAATTGATGTCACACTGGGAATGATTAAAATTTTTCAACAGGAAGAATAGTCATTATTTTTTACTCTCTTTCATCTATAATTAGATAGGGGTGTTCACGGGACGGGATGGGACCGGGACACCCCCGTCCTGTGTCCCGTCCCGAAAAAAAGATCGAAACTAAATTTTGGTCCCGTGTCCCGTCCCGTCCTGAAAGTCGTCCAGTTCCGTTAAGAGTCGGGACGGGACTGGGACAAGATTGGGATTTCCCGTCGTCCCAATAAATGGAATAAAGTCGAAAAAAAATCTGGATAATAACGTTCATTAAAATTTTAAATTATATAATTTATTAAGTTTAAAATAAAAAATAATAATTTAAAATCAATTATTGAATTATATTAATCACAACTACATATTATAATAACAAATACAAGTGATCTTTATGCTGTAAGATTAGCAACAATAGACAAGTCAAACACAACATCAAATCATTATTCTTCTACTTTAGTGAAGATGTACTAAGCTAATTACTCTTCTAAAAATAAGCAAGAAATATGTTATAAATAAAAGTTATTAAATAGATAGATATAAGAATAAATTATATTAATATAATTAATATATTATAAAGAAAGATATCGTCATGTTTACTTCATGCTATTAAAATTATTAATATAAAAAAACTTTAGTTTTAAATAAGAATTGCAAGTATTAAAAGTATAATTGATATACTTAATATAAGTATAAATTATATTAATATAATTAGTATATTTAAAATAAAAATAATATATATAATATTTGGGACAGGACGGGACGTCCCGATGGTAGTCCTGTGTCCCGTCCCGAACCCCTTTCCTGTCCTGTCCCGTAAAGTCCCGTCTCGATTACTTTCGGGCAGGGACAAGACCCGTCCCGATATGATCGGGACAATACCGGGCCAATCGGAATGGGTCCAAACTGAACACCCCTATAATTAGATATATAATAATGCAAATATCAATTACTCACACACATATATAATAGGGATATTATTATTATTATTATTATTTGAGGCATACGGCAATTGCCTCATCAGCCTTATGCCTTATACGGCCTTGGTAGAAATGAGAGTATAAGTGAAAAATGAGGAAAAGATTTTTATTAATAATACCCTTAAAATGAAAATGTATTAAAATATTTGTTACTAATTTTTAATTATTAAATAACATGTATTCAATAAAAAAGGGTAAAATATTTAAGATTTTAATTTGATTTTCTTTTGTAATTTTATGAAATTACAGTATAATTTACATTAAATATCTTACAAGTTTAAGTTCGGGTCATTTGGCATTAGCCTATTTGCTAAACTAACTTTTAATTGTTAGAAAATCAATACTCTCTAAATGTTAAAAGCTGTTTGAGGATAAATAATGGGATGAAAGTGGATTTAAGTATTTAACCAATGTAATTTTGATTAGCTTTTCAAATTGACTTTTAAAATATCTCTCTCTCACTTCAGTGTTTTTTCATAATTCTCTCTCCCTTGTATATATACTTCCTCTGGTTCTATTTATAAAACACTTTTTAAAAATAATTTTTAATTTAAAATATAAGATACTTTATAATAATTAAATTATTTTTTTAGTTTTATCCCTTCTTGATTAGTGTGAATGTATTTAATATAATTATATTATTATCTAATATCAAAAGTAAAGATAAAAGTACATCTCACTTTTTTATGATATTAAAAAAAATTAAATTTTTTAATATGCGTGAAATGATTAAAAATATCCTATAATAACGATCGGAGGGAGTAGTTTTTAAAAATCAATTGATGTTTCTTTTTCCAACAAGCTTGTTTCAAGCCTGCTTTTTAGAGGTGCACAAGGCAACCACCTCTATTTTTCTATTCCTTATTTTATTTTTTTCTATGATTTTTACAGTAAGAAAAAACCCATCAGTTTTGAATCTTAAAATAAATAATTTTAAAATAAATGAAATCATGATTCAGAATTTTGCTGTTTTGAATATTTAGATCTTAACTGTAATTAGAAACTAATACATAGGTTCAAACCTATCAAATATTATGGACTTCGTTTCTCAAGAATGCAAGTTAGTAAAGTCTTTTATTGTATAAATGCTATATATCTAGATTGTTTTGGTTTAATTCTCATTAGTTTTTGGGTGTTGTTTATTGTCATCTAACATTATTTCAAGTGAATACAAAAAATTTCAAATAGTCACTTTCTTTGTTTAGAACATCAATTCTCTGATCATCTTCTATTATTTAACTTCATTATTATAAAATAAGCTTATAAGAGTGCTTCTCTTTTTTTTTTTGGCCTCAAAGAGTGCTTCAAAAGCGCTCTCGTATTGAGCGCTTCGAAATATAAAGGAGTGCTTATATGTATGGGATACAAGAGCGCTTCTAGAAAAGCACTCTTATATAT